ATTTCTCCTTGTCTACCCACAGATACAGCAGAAACCTATTCCACCGATATGGTTGTCACAACCATTAAATCTAACGCTAATTCTGAAAAAGTCAGGCTAATAATGGAAGCTGCCACTTTTTCTAACACTCGAGAAGCAATAACTGAATTTGTGTGAATAGATGTACCAAATAACGCTAATTTTTGATACACTGGAGGGCAGAATTTTGGGGGTAATTTTTCCGGGCCGACGGGCCTATAGGGCTTCGCTTGACAATCGTTTTCTTGGCAATCAAAATATACAACAGTAGATGAACAAAGAGACTTCTGTCTCAAACCGGAGTGGGGGAAATGTCATCGACGCAGAATGGAATGAGTATCGAATATATTCATAGAGTGTGGGCCCCCTTGCCCTGGGCCCCCTTAGTACTCCACATTACCGCTCAGGCCTTCTTGGTACCCCACCTAACCCCTCGGCCCCCTTGTCACGTTCCAGTCACGTGATTTCATTTAAAGATTTGAACCTGGATTGTCCGCGTGGTAGATATTTTCCTTAGCCTCTACACCAATGTAAGATATTGAAAGAAACTGCGAATGTTTGGTATTTACAGCGTTCGTTTTGTCGGGACTGAAATTGTCTCATTTTATATACTTGACTGCTTTTTTTTTATTTTCGTATAATGTTATGGAAGTTGTTATCGTCATTATCATGTTGAAGTTAGGAAAATATAGTTATATTTGGGAAATGATTAATATTTCATATGAAGATGTTTATGTGTGTGAATAGATGAACAAAGAGACTTCCGCCATAACTTCAAGGTCGTGCGTCGCTGGTATTTCAGAGAGAATCTTCAGTGAGTGGAAGAGAGAAACGTGTGACGTCATCGACGCAGGATGGAACGAGTATCGTAGCGATTCAAGCATGGAACTCGGCCCCCTTAGTACTACTCCTCACCTATCGGCCCCTCTTGCGACTCTGCTTCACCCCTCGGCCCCCCTTGTCACGTGATCCTAATTAAAAAAAGTTATGAGATTCGAGCCTGGATCGTCCGCGTAGTAGACATTGTCCTTAGCCTCTACACCAACGTAAGATTTTGAAAGTAACTGCGAATGTTGGGTATTCACAGCGTTAGTTTTGTCGGGACCGAAATTGACTCATTTTATATACTTAACCGCATTTTTTTTTATTTCCGTAGAATGTTAGGAAAGTTGTAATCGTCATTATCATGTTTAAGATAGGAAAATATAATTATGTTATAACTCACTTGAGAAAAATAACTTTTTAAAAATTAATATTTATTGAACAGGGGAAACAGATCTGTATCCCCAGAGTTGAGTAGTAACAGTATGACAACTAGAATACAACTAAACTATTACGCCACGCAGGACGTTTTTTATATGAAAAAATATCATGAAGTAAGCGTCTGGGTGAACAAAGAACAGTAAACGGCGCCTGGGATCTTTCTGGAACTGCGTAGGTGCCGGATGTTGATTCAGCTATGCTCTTGAGATGGTCACCTTGGAGATGAATGGTAGAGGTCAGCCATGGGCATATAACAACTCCCCTNGAATTTGAAATTCACATAATCAAACAAAGATGATGTTTTTTTATCTCTTTGGATGTCATTAGGTGCTAACCTTGTACTGTATGCACAACCCAGCGAATATTTCTTTAGGCAAATGTTCTTTACTTGGAATCATGCGACGTTCCAGGAAAATTCCAGGAGAAAGTTAAATTATATAAAGTGCAAAC